GTGAATTCATTTTCTTAGCTGTACAATCGCAAATATATATGCATTGTTCTGTATGCATGTGCACATTAAGTTTGTCAAACAAAATTACAATTGGTTAAGGTTACTTTTAACTAAACAGGTGAAGGTTGGTAATACAAGTCAAGAAAATTAAGTGTTAATGAAACTAGGAAAGTAACAAAGATGATGAGTTGTCACAAACAGTTGTTAAAAGAAGTTATGTAATAATAATATGAATAGTTTGATTGAGTGAGTTTTACTCAGGATGCACATAGAAACAAACTTTTGACTGCACCAGATAGCATATTGTTCGATGGAGGCGAACCAACTTAACTGTAGGATACGCTCCGGCTAGTGACATTCTCAATCTTCTGTTGACCATTTCTGCAATGTTTTCACCCTTAAAATCAAGTTGAATGAATAAAAACTTTTTCTTCACTATGATTTGCTTAATATTTGAGCCTTCAGATCTTCCGTACATGTTAATGAACCTCTGAGTTTAACTGTTACTTTCAACATCTTTTTGAGAATCATAAATGCTTCCTCTAATATCTATGTAAAGCCTAATCTCCTAGCTTTATAGTACAGAGGTTTGACTAGTCCACGTTTAAAGCTATTTGGACAAAAACTATTAAAATTTAGGTATTGTCCATTGCATGTAAGCATCCAGTCAATTTAACCTCTGGAGGTTACCATCTTCTAGGCTTTTCATGGCAGTGTCGAGGAAATGGAACTTTCGATCATTTTCATGTTACATAGTAAATTCAGTATTGGTATGTGTTGTCTTTGAATAATCTGAGTAGGTTGGTAGGAAACATGACTTTTATTGTTGCACACTGCAAATGTGTCATCAGTATCGATGTCATGTGATTATAATTGATGCAATGATTATGAACAGCAATAAATTGTGTTTGAAACTTTGTCATCCAGTAAATAATACTGTTTCACTGTGTGATATATCTAATAAACAAACTAATATGGAATTACTTACTTCACAGTGCCCAAGTTTTACACACATATGAATATGTCTCTTCTTTCTATGATTTCAGTGGAACTCAGCACATTGTTACCCAATTTGATAGTCATTCAGCATCTTGTGCATCTTACGCACCTCTCTTTATTATTACGCAACTCCTTTACCATACGTTTACTTTGTTTAAACTGGAATTGCCTGTGAAAAATCTATATAAGCATAATTTTCCGAGCACTGTTCACTAATTATGCAATCTCCTGTGAATTGATATCACGTGAAATTTACAAATATGTTAAAACGTCTCTGTACATGAAGTCAATGATTTATTCAGGCTATAGGCGGCTAATGAGAAGTCAGAGAAATAAGCGGTGGTAGCAGATTATTCTGCAAAAGCTGTTGTTCTTGCTGTAATGCATTTGGCGCGAGGTGTCATTCGACTGTTTCCTGAATATATATGCCCAATTTATCTCCATTTTCTCCTGCATTTTTGTTGAACACTCGTTTCTTGGTTGGTTTGTAACCAGCCAGAGTTTCAAACTGCTAATTCTTTTGACTAGCTGGCCATTCGATCTTCAGTGTGGAGCTAGAGAAGGTGGCACCTGTTGGTGAAAGTCTTCAACAGGCTGTTGGAAATCCTTTTCGTGACGGGTGCGCAGTGCAAGTTTCTGAAGGACACGTATAGAAGGACCAACTTGACACTGGTTTTGAGGATTGTAATCTTGCTGTTTATGCTGAGGTGGAGTGCAGACGATTTCCAAACTGGTTACAGGTTGATGAAGGTGTATCTTGCCTTTCAGATTCCGACTGGCTTTCACATTTTCATCCTCTCCGCTTGTAGCTGAAACGATGCTTGCTGTCTAGAAGAGTGGGCAACCTCAGTTAAATATCTCCCGTTGATGGTGATTGGTGCTGGTTGTTGTTGTTGTTGCAGTTGGTTGTTTGGCTATCTTCATCACCTCCCTTCGTCTTCTCTGTGTTCGCCTACAGTCCTGTTTTCACTGCCTGCCTGCATCTTCAGTCAGTTTGTGTTGGTTTTGGCTTGCAAGTCTTCGAGTTTGTGTGACATCATCCACGCGCAAAATCCAGATCTAGAGTCTTATTATCGGTGGTTCAACGTATTCCTGTCTTCTCACTCCTACCCACAGTCTGAAGTATAATCCAGTTTATCAAAATTAAGAATATCATCAGTGATAATAGGCAGACAGCCAGCTTGTCTTGTAACAACAGAAGACAAGGGCCAGGCAACAGATCGTTTTATTATGAAAATCAACACGTATTTATATATATTTCACATACATTATTATAGCTTATGCAAGTAGACAACGCAGGCTTCTGATTGGTTGCTTCGGGATTCCTCGAAAAATAGAGTTCTCTATCTGCGAATCATATTTTGCTACGTTAAGTCTCCTGTGATTGGTTGTTGAATCAGCCGTGCTCATATTTTCTCACGGCCTGCTCTCATCATAGTCTTACTCCTGTATGTACTTCAAACGCCTCGCGAAGAGTTTTCCGTTGTGGATCACTTGACACATGCCACTTTTATATAGCAAACTGTTTACATGAGGTTAATAAAGACTTGGATACTGTACGTCGTAGTGTTGCAGTAGTTTCCAAATTACTTCTTTTGTATTGAATTCTAATTATTTTATTCTTCTTTCTTGTGTTTGATTTTCTTATGTTACTACCTAGAGCACGACTATTCAAAATTCACGCAAACAATCAAATAGCAAAGATAATAAGATATTCATTGAATTGAAAACATTGGAACCGAATAGTGTTTTTGTAAGTTCCTCTAACATATTTTAAATGTAAATCAAATTATCTAATTAATTGATTAATTAATTAATTAATCACCAATGCTCATTCTGGTTGTAGTGAACTGGATCACACGGAAGACCCTACGAAGTGGGAAAGATAGGTACACGTTGAGTCCTATTATGGGTAAAATTTATTTTGATAAAGTCTCATAGTATGCTATACAGTAATACTTACACCGACGACTATTTCATTATCGTCAACAATGAAGAAAATCTAGACGACGTCTTAAATTCCTTTAACAACTGCCACCCTGCAATTCAGTTCACGTTAAAGAAAGAGCCTAACTCCAAATTATCCTTTCTTGACGTTCAACTAACAAGACGACAACAGGAAGGAACACTGAGGAAATCCATTTACAGAAAGTCGACGCAGAACGGAAAGCTTACTAACTTTCACAGTTGGGTACCTATATACACGAAACTAAAATTGATCCGTTCACTCAGCTATAGGGTTGGCAGAATTTGCACCCCTGATACCATGGAAGATGAACCAGACAATCTGAAGAGAATCCTCGTCGACAATTGTTATCCAAGACGGTTTGTTGCAGATTCCATGAGTCCTAGACCGCGAAAGCCGCCCATGCTTGGCGTCCTGAAAAAGCTCCTCTGCATGAATCTTCAATTCGACGGAGACACGTCTGCAGAAACATTGAAAAATCGACTGTCGCGTTCAATTAAGAAGACCTTCTTCGCAGCTGAACAAAGACTAACGTTCTCCCCAAAACCTGTTATTCGTACTAACGTGAAGGATAAGCTACCACTGTTGACTAGTCTCATCAGTGTCTATCGGCCAATTCACCTGCTCATGTTGAGCCAGGTATGTCAGCCGTACCGAGCGTTTTCTTTCTTTCTAAATGTATCACCGAACACTTACCTGCATGGTTTCACGAAGCAGAAAAACGATGCCCCCACAGCTCTATCTTAGAACATCTGATAGATTCCGGACACCGAGCTACACCCCAAACAAACTTCAAAGTCGTCTATAGAAAACAAAGCAGTCTTCCTAAACGCGTACGAGTCAAGCTTCTCCAAACCACAGTAATATTTACTGATGACGTTTTGAGCACAATTTATTGCTTCTCATAATCATATCAAGTTACTCACTCAACTTCCTAACTTCGTTTATATAATTCCATTACTTTCCATCACTTGATTTGACTGGTTGGTACAAGTGTTTTCTATATTTCCGGTATGAGTAATGAGTCATTGCATCCTGTTGCATTAGTTGCATAAGTAGACTCGATGAACAAGGATTAAGTAATCAACCTCTCAATCTCTCTCCACCTAGATACCACCTACCTGTATTACTTACTGCTTAGAATTTTAGCCCTCTCCTTCCCAATCCATTGTCTGTGATTGTGCGTTGTTAATGCCTGCAGTGCAATATAGTGCTGAGCTTTTTTATAAATTACTTATCTCCGCGAGAGGCGTCAACCAGTCTAACCCCAGCTAAATTCTTATGTTCCGACAATCTGATTACCCCGATCTACTAGTCTGATCTATGTAGTTGATCTCTCAGTCATTGCAAGGTATTTTGTGAATTATTTGATTTTATTGGGTCAACAGGGCCTTTTAACCTACAGATCTTGTCTCTGAATGAGTTTGTAGATTTGAATACCACCGTAATTCCTGCTCTATTGATAATCCTACGTAGGGCTGCAGATGTCCCTATCTGATTGTATTTGATCAATAACACTCATATTATTTGTGAATGTACTTTATCTTATATTGATTTTTTTTCAAATGTCTAATCGCATCAATTTTCACTCATGTATATAAATGAAGGAAAAAAGTTGTGTGAATGAGTGACTTGATATGATTATGAGCAGTAATAATTTGTGCTCGAAGCGTTATCATCACTTAATATTACTGTACAACAAACACTGTGTGATTTTATCAAAATAAAATCTTATCTATTATGAAGTTGTACTCTCCCACCACAGTGCTTAAGTTTTATACTTATATCAATAAAAAGACGGTGAAATTTTAGAACGTTTTTCATAAAAGGGCCAACAAATGTCCAGAGTTAGTGAAATCTTTGATACTGTGCACACATATGAACTACCTAAAAATTCATCATTCGACAGTCTACTGATGCGCGATTCAACAACTTGTCAACATTATCAACATTGTCAGGATTATCTTACCAGCCTTATTTAATCAAATCTCAAAGTGGTCACATTTGTGTTTTTGTCTTTTCCCATTCCCATCAGGGACTGGAATCCATTGTCTTTGAACCATTCGGTGGGACAACTTCAGTTTCATTAGTCTCAGATGGTGCAGAATGTGTAGCGATAAGTAAAAAATTTTTTATTGAACATTGTCCAACAAACTTTATGAATTGGTTAAGATCTAAGGTAAGTAAGCATATTCATGGAAATTAATTTTTGAACTAATTGGTTTTCAAAAGAATGGATACTGAACAAAGAATACTCTTTTCTATAACCTGCTCTTCTTCATCAGGTTCTCTAGTTGTATATCCATCCATTATAGTGAATGAATGAATGAATTAGTGTTATGAACAACATTAATGTTGCTGTTTAAATAACATAGAATCAATAATATTGACAGATTACAGTCCAACAGCATCAACATAACAATACACACGGAATGTCAGAAAAATTAGGAAGGATAATATTACAAATTTATAAATCTATAGTCTCTACTGAAGGCAGGCCAGGGCTGGCTGGACGTGTTTTTTTTTAACACAGAGCACTGGTTGTTTGAGGCGAATTGCAATAGCTTCTGCTGTTTGCAGCATGCACTGCTTCGATGTTTTTGGCAATTTATTAGGCACCCAGTAGATGATAGAGAAGGTTTCTTCACTGGTGGCTAGCTTTGTAGCTGGTTTCTACCATATGGTCTAACATCGAACTATTAATGGTTTTCACTACACCTTTACTTAGCCATACTGGGATATATTTTCGAGCGAACACGAAAAATCAAGTCCCTAGAACAATGGCCGATATAACTCACCCCACCACAAGCGCAGTTGAATTGGTAGATACAATTAGAAGTGGCTAGCTAGTCTAGGTACTTCATCTTTCAGTCGAGGTAGCACCATCGATCGTGTAGAGAATAAAATGTGTAGTTCTCCAGCAGAGATTTGATTGATACTCTCTTCTTTGATCATGAAATAATTTTAGTCAGAGAACTGTTGGAAACTTTGGAATTCAGAATTAATGTAAGATGATTGGAAGAAATCGGACCCGTGTTCCGTGCTTGGTGGCAGTCGTTAGCAAGGTTTAACTCAAATCTTGAAGGGACTCATGTCCCTGTTGAGATTCCAACGTCATCTCAACCAGTGCTGCAGTAAGACATGTTACCACTGAGATATTCAGGCTCGCGATCGACCTCCTACAGGACTATTAATATAAGTGTAAAGCTTGGGCATTGTGGTACGATACAGTTCCATATTTATTATTGGTATTATTATGATTGTCCCATTGGGTTCCGAGTGGAACATAGGGCTTCAGTAACACATCTCCACTTTGTTCTATTTTCTGCTGTCCTCTTCAGCTGGTTTCACGGTTGACCAGACTGTTTCATCTCTTCCTCACACGATCTCTTGCATTGTCACCCTCAACCCTCGCACAACCTACTTGTCGCATCCGATTCGGACTTCACTCAAGGGTCTGGCGCGTTAGAGATCCTTCCAGTGACATACTGACCAAGTTTCTTATCAGTGTAGAGGGACAGAATTGACATTAGATAAGTTTATTTTAAAAATCAAACAGCGATGGAGTATTAACAGCTGGGTGACATTTCGAGTATAAATTACTGCCACTCATGATCATATCAATTTTATTCACACGTTTTCACAATTTGTCTTATATATATTTCCTCTCTTTCTACCATCTACCCCTTATTTTTTGTCGCCCATTTTGTATATCTCCAATATAGGCGTTGCATCATTACGATTATACATGTGAGGTGTTGAATCGATAAGCTAAGCTTCAGTGACTAACTTTTCTGTCTGTCTCTCTCTCTCCTCCTAACTATATCGCCTTTTAATACTCTCACCCTGTGCCACACTGTTGATGTATGATTACATGCAAGTGAATGTAGTGCAGTGGCTGAGCTTTATTCCAGGTTATTTAAGTTAACAGGCTCAATTATTGTAGGTCTGGCTAAATTTGTATGCTCGAATAATCTAGTTGACCCCGATCTACTGTGCGTCGGTGGCACAGTGGTTAGGACTCTCGACGACCATGCACATGGTCTGGGGTTCGAGCCCACACAGGCGCACACCAGATATCTATGGTCGGCCTGCAAAATTTGGGCTACCTATATCCATGCTGAAAATTCCATACTTGTACCAAAAATACAGTGTGGAATCAAGCTGTTACCAAAAAATAAATAAATAAATAAAAATACTAGTTTTGACTGACCTACATAATTAACCTCATCCACAATCACTGACAGGGTATTTGGTAAATTATATTATTTTTACTAATTGGATCTATTGAAGTTCTTAAGGCTAAAAAGTTTATCTATGAGAGAGTTTGTCGGTTGGTTGGTTGGTTTAAATGTCCCTCTAATTCCAGCCTCACTGAGAGAATTCTACGTAAGGCCTCTTTTGATGTCCCTCCTTTATACGAAGGCTGTAATGGTTACTTTGAGTGGTCACCAGTGGCTGAGTGGCCTAATAACTAGCCGCAGAGCTTGAAGATTTTAGTTTTGAATCCTGGTTGGGTCACGGATGCGTATGTCAGAAGAGTCTAAGACAAGGAAGAAATGGTCATCCAATACTTCCGGGATTCCAGTGGCTCTCTAGATGAAGTCAATTCGTGATCAATCTTGAAAATTAGTCAGTCAGTATATAAATCAGTAAAACAGTTAGCCGATTAACCGATAAGTAAACAGTTTCAAGTCCTTTTTATCACTCACAGATTATTCAACTATTTAAGAAATTATTTTGGTATAAGGAATAGAATTTAGACATTATGGTAAAAATATAATTTAATATTACTCAAGTTTATTCGATGTAACACAGTGATGTTACAACACTAAGTGATAACTGGATGATATTTTGAGTATAGTTTATTGATCATTATGATGTCACAGGTTGCTTACATGACTTTCTAACTAGCTTTACAAGTCCTTAATCCCTCTTGTTTTGCATCACAGTTCGCCATATATCCGAGAGGTAGGTAGAGAGGGAAAATCAGTTGGCGAGGTTGTCTAGTTAAATCGATTGAGATAATTAGGAGATGTGTCACGAATGTCTAGCCACCAATCGCCTTCCTTGACGGGTCGGGTGGGTAGTGTTAGCTGCTGACATATAATGAATGAAGTTGAAAAAGAGGCAGTGATGGTCAAACGAGAAAACCTGTTTTCATCAGTCAATGAAATCCATAACCGTTAGTTTGAGCTAGCCAACTAGCCAGTCAAGTAGGGATGTGTTGACAGCTGTCTGGTTGGTGTCCTCGGGATAACAGGAACCAATAATGGATGGAGGCAATTGGTGGTATGGCCCAAAATCTTCTTCGCTCAGTGATGGCTAGCTCAGATGCATTCACTCTTTGTGATTTGTCATATCGAACAAAACTGTATTGTTCAATAGTAATATTATTCATTTCACCTAGCTCACATTTCTGTTTAACATCCGTCTTCTGATGAGTCTCTCTTTACTTTCTTGTCTTGGTTTGTGTGTTAAATGGAGAGGAAGAGTGGCAACTTTCACTGGTGTATATCTGTGCATAGTTTTATGTCGAAAACAATCAATAAATCAAGCATATCCTTTCAGTAATTTCGACTACAGATGTCTGGTATTGATTCAGTTAACAAAGTTTCAATGATTAACCTATCTCTCTACCTAACCATATCACTTCCTAATAATTTCACCCTGTTCCACCATACTGTGATCGCTTGATCTATTCTGATCTTACCACAATTATATTTATTTGTAGAAAGATGTTTCTTCCAACCTTCGATATAAAGAGGTTCAGACAATTGGTGACACTCAATGTCCACTTGCTAAGTTTGTTAATTCTTGTATCCTACCCCTCCCCCCCCCCCAACCTACCTTATTCTTTCCTGGAATGCCGATGAATGACTTTGTTATACTGAGACGAGCAGTTAAAAAAGCTGTCAACATGATAAGTGCAGGTGTCTCTAAACAAACACTTAAACTTATACTCTCTTCGGACTCTCAACACCCTCTTTATCTATAACTATATTCTTGCATTTAATCAGGTAGGACAAAAGAAGTACCTAGACTAGCCACTTCTGATTGTATCTGCCAATTCAACTGCGCCTGTGGAGCAACGAGTTATATTAGCCTTTGCTCGAGAAACTTGACTTTTCGTGCTCCTCGAGAACATCTGCCAGTGAGGCTAAGCAAAGGTGTATTAAAAGCCATCAACAGGTCGACATTAGACCATCTGGTGCAAACCGGACACAAATCAGGCCAGCGTTGAAGAATCCTTATCTATTATCTACCGGGTACAAAATATATTGTTTGGAGGATTTCATGAGTTAGACAGCCATTGAAAAACCTGGGAGTACTGGACAGCTGTTTCGTCCTAGTTTGGGACTCCTCATCAGTAAGCATGCATCGCTGGGTTTCGAACCCAGGACCTTTTGGTTGCAAGGCGAGCTCGTGGACTTGCGGCCCTAGTGGGAAGCCGTGACCAGCAGGGAGCAGCATGTTGAAGGTGAAGCAGAAACTCATCGAAGAAGACATTGCGAAGTGATCACGCTATGTCATGAATTAGCAGAAGTTAGAATTCATGGGCCCTTGGATCTGCTCCAAGTGGCTCAATGGTTTACAATCTCACCTTATAACCAGAAGATCCTGGGTTCGACGCCCGTGGAGGTGCGTACTGCTGAGGAGTCCTGATGAGCTAGAATGAAACAGCTGTCCAGTACTCCCAGGTTTTCCAATGGCTGTCTAACTGATGTCACCTCATAATGAAATCCTTCAACCAATCAAACTAAATCCCTACAAAAACCAAAACTTGAAAATTACAAAATATATTGTCAATAACATCAAGGTACCACATACTCCAGACAGCAGTGGCTATCTCGATTCGTTTGGAGTATCCATTGCTTTGTGAGCAGAAGAAGCAAGTTCAGCCATTACTACTGCCCTCGCCTTTAGCCGAGACTGCAAATTCACGAATTTGTAATATTATCTTTCGTAATGTGTTTCCTGACATTCAGTGTATTGTTATGTTGATCTTATTGAACTGTAATCCATTGATATTATTATTGATTGATTCGATGTTATTTGAACAACATTAATGTTGTTGTTAAAACAGCTAATTCATTCACTATTATGGATGCATAAATGCAGAACCTGATGAAGTAGAGCTTATCGAAAAGAGTATTTTTTGCTCAGTAACCATTCTTTTGAAAGAAAATTTGATAGCTTTATGTA